CCCGGGACCGCCCAGCGGAGTGTCTGGGGGCCGCTTGGCAGTTGAGCTTGCGGTGGTTAACCTTGGAAGCCGCAACCTGGCTGGCCTTCTGCAATTCCCCCAGAAGTCCACCAACAGCCATACTCACCTTCTACCTATCCTGGAATTGGGAGATAATCATACAAGAGGGTAGGGAATGAACCTCAGTGACATTTTTGTCATAAAACAAGAGTAAACCTTTCAAACATTTAGATACTCTTTTTTAAGTGGTGAGTTACCAGGAGTGGAGGGAATCCTCATAATCAAAAAATCCACATTTAACAGCACAGGCTGAAACCACAGTCCTCTTACTCACGAGAAGACCCAGTGCCTGGGTTTGAGAGAACCGCAGCATCTCCTGTGCAGGCACAACCCAATTCGAGGCTGCGTCCTGCGAATCCAGAAGCACGGTCTGCCCGCAGACTGAACAAATGAGCAACCCTCGTGCTCCCCCGGCCTGCCCGCAGGAGAGCTCCCAGGCCGCCCACCCCTGCGCCCGCCTGCACTGCCCTGAGGAGCTGCCTCCTTTTGGCCAGCAGGATGAAACAGTGAGCAAGAGGCTTTGCCAGTGAGCCCCGGGTGCGTGGCTCTGCTCCTTTGCAGGAAACACAGAATTCGGGTCCGCAGCTCAAAATCGCAATGTTCCTGGTTCTGCTCATTTTATCTTACAAGGGTAAAATTAGCTATAGCTGCTTTGAGGCCTCAAAAGAAGCAATTAAATAAGAGCTCTTCAGGGAACGGCACTCATCAGCTAGCTATTCAGAGCAAAATACATGGCTCGTTTTGCCTAGAAGGAAGATCATTTTCTGGTTGTTTCTCAAAAAGTTATTGGTATAAGAACATATGAATGAAATACTGCAGTTCTTGTGCACATGTGTACAAGCATTCGCACATGCCTTGAGGCAGAGCTCAAGGAAGCCCACATATACACACGCAGTAAATAGTTCTGAGGTGGGTATCTTTAAAGAGAGGCAATCCACTGCTTGCTTGTCCAGCCTACACGCAACTTTAATATTAGAATTGCCCAGATGTTTTCAAACCCCAGCATTTCTTAAATTAGCTGAATTTAGGAAAGGTTGCCAAAGCAGAAACTGTTGTCTTTCCATGCCCACTATAAAGCACATTTTCATCTGCTTTGTCAGCTTAGTGTACAAAATTACTAGTTCTACTATTGCCAGCAAAATAAGTCAACATGACACAAAACAATTATTCCCTGCTTTACAATAAGAAACATTTTTATTGCTTTCCATGCCACTGTGATTCAGTTCTGCACTGGATCAATCTATTTTTATGCTGACAAAAATATTCTTATTAATTTTTTTTTAGACTAAAAGGAGCCCATTTAAGCAAACTGTGAGGGCATGGAAGGGTTTTTTCCCTTAGAGGCACAAAAGGAAAAAGTTCATGTTTCAGTTTTCCATTTTTTAAAAAACTGTAGAAGACTGAAAAATAACAGAACCCTAACAGCCCTTGCAGGTAGCACAGTAGCAGCTGCAACCAAATCTTCGGCTTCTGGTTGCAGACCATGGGATGCAAAGTGTATGTGGGCAGAAGAAAGAAGCAGGGCAAACTAGAAGCGATCAAGTAAGGAATGGGAGGGTTAAACATTACAGTACTTGGTGTAAACTAAAGTGGACTGGAATGGGACATTTTCAGTAGGACAAGCACAAAGCTTTACTCCAGAAATAAGAAACTCAGCAAAAACACAGGTAATAACGTGGAGGCAAGACACCGCGCGGGCAGGAGGAGCTCTCAGGGAAAGTCTAATCCAATCGTATCAATCAGATTTCTCAGACAACCCATCAACATATCCGCCATTCAAAGCCACACACCTTGTGCAGTATCCAAGGGAAAACGGATAGCACACCAAAACAGGACATGCTGACCCACACAGAAAATGCGGCCTTGGGCTCAGACAGGAGGCGGGAGCGTGACTCAGAGAAGGGGCCAGCCACTTGCTCATCAAAAATGCACACTTCAGGCGGCCAACCCAGGGACTGTGCCCATGCACAGCAGCCGAGAGGCAGTACAGAACTCAATTAGCCGATGGAACTGCAAGTCGGAGATGGAGCAGGTCTGTTCTTACTGCCAAGCAAGACCAGGAGCAGATTATGGCAGTACCCATGAACTACGAACATCAAAACGCAGAGAAAAGCTGAAGAAGGTAACTAATGGAAACACAGCGTCAAAATACCACTTCAATAGCAACTTGAAGTGCACATAAACAACAGATTGACAGATCCTGGCCTCACAGAGGAGGGCCAGCATCGCTTCTCCATCAGTCCAGAGTGCAGGATGCGGAATAATGGGCTTAAGCTACACGAAGCCCGGTTCTGGCCAGACATCAAGAGAACCTTCCTGGCTGTTAGAGCGGTGCAGCAATGACCTGGGGAGGCAGTGGGCTCTCCCACACCAGAGGCATCCGAGAGCCAGCTGGACTCCAGCCTTCTGCCCGGGTGCCCTAACCGGTGTCCTGTCCTGGGCAGGGGCTGCACCTGACGGCCCTCTGGCTCCTTCCAACTCTACAATTCAATGGTTCGCATGACTGAGCACCACTGACCATGAGCCAGAAAAACTCTGGACCGAAAACAGAGACAGTGTTGGGGAAGAATGCCAAGAGAATGTAGCAACGAGAAAGAGAAGGGCTAGATGGACAATGGGAGAAGCACTCCTAATTGCTAAGGACAGGCGGGAAACAAAAGCAAAGGTGAAAATATAAGGCCAGGATTCTAAATGCAACTTTTCAGTAACTATCATGTGTAGTCAAAGAGGTCTATTGCAATGATCACTGCAAAAAATTGGAGAGCTACAAAAGAGGAAAAAGAAGAGACCTCTTCCAGAAGAGCCAAGAAATCAAAGGGAAATTTCAACCTAGATCAGGGATGTTACAGACAAACAGGGAAACATATTATCAGACCAGGAGAAAATAAAGAGAAGGTGGAAATAATATACAGAGGAACTCTGCAAAAGAAATGAAAGAATGCCAGACTCCTCCCAAGAGGAATCCCATGAGGAAGAGCCTGGAATCTTAGAAAGTGGAGTGACGTTGACTCTGAAAAGCACTTGGCAGGAATAAAACACCCAGAGTAGATAGGATACCAGTAGAACTGTTCCAAGCTGCATGAAATGAATCAGTCCAAATCCTAACAGGAATGTGCCAGCAAATATGGAAAACAAAGCAATGGGCCACACATGGGAAACATTCACTGTGCATTCCAGTCCTGAAGGAACAGAGGCCGCAAGCGCAGGACTGCCGCCCCAGTTCCCGTGCAAAGTGATGCTCCGGCTGCTGCAGCGAGAACCTGCATTGCATGGAGCGCGGGAAGCCTGATTCTGAAGCTGGATTGCAAAAGGGAGGAGGCACTCTGCAAATAGGAGCCAGAGAACGTCGGGAGGTCAGCCTGTGCTTTCGAGGCTAAAGCAAAGCCCTTGACTGTGTGGATGGCAAGAAGCTATCCATGGTCCTGAAAGAGAGGCTGTGCCTCAGCCCCCGACCGTCCCATGCGCAACCCATATGGCGTGCAAGCAGCCGCTGTCAGGAGGGGGCATGGAGAATGAGGGGCTTCAGTTCCTTTTCTAGACCTCTTGGGGGTTGGCTGGCTGAACTGCTTTTCTCCCACAGCAGGGAGTGGAAGGACGCTAAAGAATGCCAGCAATTGTGACAGCCCAGTTCTCTGATCCCCACCCCGGGAGCATGTCCCCACACCCCCCCCCTCCTTCTTGCCCCTGTGGGCTCTGGAGCTCTGCTAGCAATTGGAGGGATGCAGAGCCCATAGCCTCTGCAGGGCGCACCTTCTCCGAGGGGGAGCGCCGAAGGGTCCTGCAGCCCCAGCCGTGGTCCCGCCGCCAGCCTCAGTCACCCCTCCAGGGGAGAGTGGAGGAGACCCGATGCTTGGCCAAGAAGCCAAGGGCCAGGCAGAGGAACCGTGGAGTAGGCCACCTGCCCCTCATGAGGCGCACTTCAGCCACGCCAAGCCCCTCACGCTCACCACAGCAACCCGCGTGCAGCCTCCCGCAGAACGGGCAATGCAGGCGCCGAAGACGTCCGCTGCCGGCAAGCAGGCTGCGCCTCGTGCATGGTGCAGTCCTCGCTTGCAGGTGGTGGCTACTCAGACAGATTCCAGTATCACTACTGGGCATCTTGATAAACAATTCACGAACAATCGGATTAGCTTCCGGAGAGACGGGGAACACTCTCCTGGCCTGCATATATTTTCATGAAAAAGTTGTTTTGTGAATGACTTGGGAGACTTAGTACAGCTCGGTCAAGTACAAACTAGGGTATGCATACAGATCACACAGACGGATTACAAAGAATTCGGCACTCTGGACCAGGGACAAGGATTTTGGAAACCACTCTGGCATGTGGTTTAAAAAGGTATTGCTATTGCTATTGCCACCGTCATAAAACATATTTAATTATAGAATTAACATTCGCATTGCTCACAGAGAAGGACAGGCGCAAGCTTGTTCCACAAATTTCTCTGGCCTGCAGCAGGACTGATTTTCAGAGGAACCCTGCACCTGCCCAGATGAATATCACACCTGCTCTGCCTTCCTCTGCCTCTAACGTGTGCAAGCCCCTGGAACGCGGCAGCAGGCACACTGCCACTCGCCCGGCCTCTCCGCCTGACACAGAGAGGATTCTCCACAGAGCCTCTCCCACTCTGTGCTACTGCAAATTATGGACTATCCGGAGGACAAAACTAAGTTCCATAAAGCGAATGGCCCATGGCTTCCTCGGCTCACTGCAACAGGTTCAGTCCAGGGAGGCTGCTGAGGTTCCTCCTCCGACTTCCATGGGACCCCAGAGCCAAGGGCCCGAAGAGGCTCTCCAGGGCTCCGGTCCCTCTTAAAGGCTGCGGCAAGCGTGGCGTTCTAAGCACGGCTCTTCCGCTACCATGACACAAGGCAAGGTGGGCAACAGTCACATCTCACAATCAGCGGCTGCTGATCGAGCCCTCCGTGGGCGTATTACTCACCTGGCGATTTCATGTAATATCGCTCAATGTCGGACATGTCCGTATTCAGTGCGCACTCGAGATAGCTGAGGATAACTTTTCTACTGAAGTAGTACCTCACGCCCATCAGAAAGATGGGCAAGCAGCAGGTCAGCAACAAGGAGCTGGTCAGCACAAAGCACATGACTATGGAGATAAGGAAGAGAAATAAACGACACCTGTCAGAAAAGAGAATTCAGTGTTGATTTTGGAACACAAACCATAAGGCACAGATTTTACACTACAAAGGAGTTGCTGTACAGCACATGCTCATTTACACATTCCTTCTGTAAGTAAACGGGCACTTTAAAAAGAAAACTCTGCTGCATTGTTCACACAAGTGCTTTTGTTTACTTTAAACAGTTCAGACCCTGTTCCCATGCCATGTGAGCTCAGGAGGTGGAGGGACAGGGAGAAACGGCTTCTCCCAATTTCACACGTTCGCAGCACTGCGTGAACCATACGCTAGCCTTCAAAATCCACACTTTTCCAGATTTGGCACTGAAGTACTTCAATTAAATACAATACAAGTAAAAATGTATCCGTATATTAATTATATATATATATATATATATAATTTGATATGTATATATATGTTTGTATATATTATGTATATAATAAATTTAATATAATTTAATCATATATATATGAGGGAACATTGCATTCAAAATATGAGGAAAATTGCTTGCAGAAATGTGTGCATTAGGCAAGAATGCATACCAAATTAAAAACACATTAAGGAAAATGTGCACAAAATGGCTTATGGGTGGTCATGTGAAGATTTAAAGCCAAATTCTAAGTTCAGGACAAAGCAAACTTATTATCACTGTTTGGGACTGAAGTCTGAAGAAAATGAAAACTGAAAAACCAAAACTGACAGATGCCTCCATTCCTAGTGGGAAAAACAACACAGTTAACCTGACAGACGCAAAGCAAGTGTCTCACTAGCTCAGGCTGGTGAGCGTAATTCATTTGGCACACCACAAAGCTTGCCCTGCTACAAGCGGCCCTTACGGCCTCCTCATGATTGGTAGATCGGTGGTGCCACGGCAGGACAGTGGGGGCATTTTGGCCTCTGCGCATGCCCCGGAGACGCGGGGTCTCTCCTTGCCTAGACCTGAGCAAGCTGTGCCGCCTCCCCTTCCCACAGCAACACGGGCCGCACTGGCGGCGACGGGGCAGAAGGCTTCCGGGCTGCGTTTCCCTCACAGACAGTGGCGCGTTACGTAAGCTCATTAGCATCAGTGGATGGCTGCCAGCGCTGGGCAAGCCGCATAGGCAAACCTGAGCCCCCCTCAGCCATGCATGACCAGGAGGCCACCCGAGGAGGAGGTTTTGGAGAGTCCAGCTAGGCAGAGCAATGCATAGTCGCCTCTCTGTGCACAGAAGGGGCCGTGCCCGAAGAAGCTGGGGATGCCCAGCAGCTCCAGCGGAAGAGGCCTGGGCTCCCGGAAAGGAGACGGGCCAGCGGCCTCCTGCGCCCGGTTCTCTGGCCTCCCAGCATCGGTGTGTGCCAGCAGCACCCAGGCCAAAACGGCACCAGTGGGAGGCAGCCGGAGCGCAAGGAGGCTCCCGAAGCCGAGGGGGCTCTGCACCGAAGAGAGCGGCTGCCACCCAGCACCCCTCCTCCCCTGCCTAAAACGTATGCGTGCATTGCCGAGATGCAGTCAGGGGCAGCCAGCCAAGCGGCTTGGCCACAGATACTCCTTTCTTTCTAGCTTAAATACATACTATCACTTTCTACAACAAAATGGCATATGTTCCCAAGTACACACGATTCATTCAGGGGAACAGAAACAAACGGCATTCATTGCTAGGCATGATGGCACTACAATTTACATAGGCCTAAAGTTGGAAAATCTCAGATCCCGGGAATTTCCTTTTATCCGTTTGGGCACGTGCTGGCTGGCTTGCTCCCTCTGTTGGGACCAGGGCACAGGGAAGCACGGGCCCACGTGGGTCTTCCTTCCTCCAGCAGGGCCTTCTCTTGCAGCCACGCAAGAGGCGGGTCCGCAGGCCACCCAAGCGCCCTTCCAGTGGGACAGAGCCAGGCCTGCTCCTTTCCATGCAGAGAGCGGTGTGCGCGCCTGGGAGGTGCTCTTGCCTCCCCGCAGGCAGGCGGCCTCAGCAGGCACTCGGCTTTCCGCCTGGACTGCCTCCAGCAAAAGGAGCCCCCCTCCAGGCCTGGGTAGGGCAGACGGGCGACCAGCCCGCCAGCTCCTGCTGCATTAGGCTTGAGCAACAAGGCACTTCCTTGCTCCCTTCCCGTCCGTCCAGCCCACCAGCCAGAGCTCTCTGACCCGCCTGGCCTGCGCGTGCTCTGAAACAATGCAGCCCCGTCAGGCTCTGCCTGCAAAAATCCCCCTCGCCCAGGCAGAGTGGGTGGCCCAGAGGGGGTTGCACCGAGTGCTCCCAGGCCCCGTGGGGGGGAGACGCAATTCTACCCCACATGCAAACCCGGCAGTTTACCGGTCTGGTTTGGGGCTGACAAGTGCCGTGCTGAGCCCAGACTTTCAGAAACCCCCGACTCTGAGCGGCTGCTGCTGGCGGAGGCAACACGGTGCCCCTCACCTGCCCTGCAGCCAAGCACCTCCACCTGTGCCCCTCCCAGGATGCAGCACCTTTTCTCCCTCTCCCTCTGAACCACGCAGGTGGTGCCCGCCTGGCCAGCCAGAGCAGGAAGGAGGGATGCCCTGCACAGCCGTCCCCGGGCGCTGGCAAGAGGGCCGGGCCGGCCAGCATACCCAGGCAAGTGGAGAGCCACTGCTCTCGAGATCAGCAGGTCCACCAGGCCAGCCCTCTTCCTGGCCAGTGGCTGCTTGGCCACCTCGTCCAGCCGTCTACTGGCCTCCAGCAGTCGAAAGGAGGGAACGCCCACAGTCATGCAAAAAGAGGAAGCTGGACAGGTGCCTCATTCCCCGCAAAGCCAGTGCTTGGGTGCAAGCATGGGCGGCGGAGCGACCCCAGGCCTCTCCGGTGGAGGTCACAGCAGCTTCTCAGCACCTTGGCAGGCGAGGATGTGGAGTGACACACTCCTCGGCACCACCAACGCAGCCAAGCGGTTCGGGAGATGCGGGCCACGCACCTCGGAGAAATCCTCACGAGCCAGCCAGGCCGCTCCCTCCCCCCACAGCACAGACGGCTGGCTCGCGTGGCCGGGCCTGCTGTGGCATCAGCTCCAGCCAGACTGGAATGCAGCGCAGTGATGCAAAAGGCGCTGGAATTGCTTGGCTGCTTTGACCAGGAACGACAAATCAACACTGGATGAACCGTGGCTTCCTTGGAAGGGCAGCTGGCACCATCTCCTCCTGCCGACGTGGCTGAATTGAGAGCAAACCTGAGTTGAGCAGTCTTTGTGGACACAGTGTGTCCAGACCACATGGCCACGGACCCACACAGCCTGCATCAGGAATGAAACCAGCCCCAGACAACCTGCCCTGCCCGGCCCTGCCCTGCCTCATCCCCCTGGGACCTGCGCTGCCCAGGAGCTGCCTTGTGGGGGGTCCGGGCCCCCCGCTGTGGCCGGGAGGGGACAACCAGTCTGGCCTCTGGGGCACACCTGCCCACCCAGACCAGGGCCCCACCAGGGGCCTCCCGGGGTTGCCCCCCCCCCCATTCTTACGACTCCCCCTTTCCCTCTCCTCCACTTGGCTGGAGATGGAAGCCTCCCCTCCGTGAGGCACGGCCTGCCCCACTCCCGCCATCATCCCGGCCACTGCGAGGGAAGGGCTGGGGGAGGCGGCTGCCGCAACCGTCCTCCGCTGCTCGGTCACGGGGCAGTGCAACATGTAGTCTGGCTCCAAGTTACCTTCTGGGAGTGTAATAACAGGGTTGCAGTCAGGTGACTCTGCCGCAGATGCCATATCTCCAAGGTGCTAGTTTGCAGGTGGGATCAGGAGAGAGGCGGAGCGTTAGGAGAAAGACTTCCCGAGCCCGCAGGACGGAGGCTGCCTGGGCTCAGCAAAGAGGCTGCTGGGGAGGCAGGGCAAGGGCCGCCGGCCTTTGACTCACTCACCTCCTTCCCCATCTTCTGCAAAATGCAGAAGACACGAGAAAATGCACAAAACAGCATTCGGTTAAGTGCTGGCCAGCAAATGGGAGAGGCTGGAGAAGCATCTTCCGATCCAGCAACCTCTCAGCTCCTCAAGCCTGCGAAACATGGAGTGCTCGTCCTGAGCAAAGGACGGCAGTTCGGGGGCACTCATTTCCTCTGCGGCTGCCACAAGGATTGCGCAGCGCGGAGGGGCTCGCAGCTCCAGGCAGCAGTTGCTGCGCACGTGTCAGGTGCCCTCTGAGCGAGCGGCATTTCAGGAATCCCCTTTGCAGGGATGCTCCGTTTCTGCACGATCGGGCTGGGCAGCTGGCGGGTGGGCAGGCTGGACTGCAGAATGCCGCCCCCCTGTGCCTGGCGCCCCAGCCGGCCAGGCCCACCTAGGCGGCACAGACCTGCGCCCCCCGGGCCCCAGGAACAGCCCTGCCAGGCACATGGCCCCGCGCACCAGAGGCAGGGCAGGGCAGGGCAGGGCAGGGCAGGCGGGGGGCGTCTGTGCCGCAGGGGCCGGGCTCCTACCCACATGGGGGGAGCCACCGCGGCCATCTAGCCACCGAGCCCTCTGGGCGGGTCAGCCGACCTTGGCTGAGCAGCTCTCCATTGCCGCTGCACCCGCTCCTCTCTGGGGGGGGGGGGGATGTGCGGCGCCCCACTCACCGTGGAAGCAATGCTCACTGCTGGGGGCACCCCACCAGAAGCCCCGCCCCTGCCCCCCTGCCCGCAGCCTGTGCTCACTCGCCCCTCCGTGTGCTGCAGGTGAGGTGCCTCCTGCAGGGCGTGCAGAGACCTGGAGCAAGGGCGGGCGCGCCATGCCCCTGCAGAGCCAGGCGGGGCGCACTCGGGGAGCACCCTGTTGCCCTTCCACGGAGCTCAGCCGTGCGCGGGCGGCCCAGAGGGCGGCGGGGAGGAGCGGGGCGGGAGGCTGGGTTTGCTTGGCCCGGCAGGGGCCAGGCGGGCCCCCATGGGGGAGGCTGAGCGAGGAGGCGGCAGTGAGGAGCACAGCCGGCGGGGGAGCCTGTGCGGAGAGGCCCCCGTCCCCTTGCACCCCGTCCTCTTCCGTGCAGCCTGGCTGCGTCTCCTCAGAAGCCCCGGACGTCCAGCTGGACCGGACCTGCTCCTGGTGAGCTGCAGGTGGTGGGGCTGGGACGGGCCCCAACCCGGTGGCCCTGGAGAAGCTGCCGGGAGCCCCTGTGCAGCGGCCCCCACGGGGGATGCGGAAAGCCGCACGGCAGCCGCCCACAGCAGGGCCTGGTGGGTCAGAAGGTGGTGGAGAGCAGGCCCGTGAGGCCGGCAGGGCCCCGGCCGGCCTTCCACCCAGGCCACTCCTCCTCGCTCCCGCACGGCTCCATCCGTCCAGCCGCACTGCTCCGCTCGGCCTCCTTTCTCTGCCTGGCCAGCAGCGGCTGCAGGACCTGCGACTGCGCCCAGCGGAGTCCTCGACCAAAGCGCAGTTTTCAGGGGGCAGGGACCGAAGAGCTGCGAGGGCTCCCCTCTGCCTGCTGCCCTCGGGCATCCCTCGGACGGCCGACTGCCGTGGCCGGATTGTGCTCGTGGCTGCCTTCCTCCAGGGGAGCAGGGCCGGCAGTGCAGGACGGCCAAGTGAGCGAGCCCGACTCCACGTGGCACCGGTTCAGGGACTGCAACGGGTGGCCAGCAGGCGTGGCGGCTGCCGGCCCAGCAGGCTGTCAAGCGGGGAGGACGTTCCTGAGCAGGGAGGTCTAGTGGGCAGTGGCCAAGGCGGACTGCCGGACGCTGGCTGGAAAGGGGCGGCACAAGAGCGCCGAGGCCGAGATGGGCCCTTGCTGGCTCCCGGCATCCCTGCCTTTGCCTTCGCGCTCCCATCTGGGATTTGGAACGGGCAGAGCTGAGCTTTGGGAAGACGTCAGGCAAGCAGCAAAAGTTCGTGCTGGTGCTGCACAGAGAGGAGAGCTGGCAGCTGCAGAGGGGCCACCCCCCCCCAGCCCCACACCTAAGCTGCCCTCCCCGATACGCTTGGCCCCCCTCGGGGAACAGGCAGCGCTTGCAGCTGAGCCTCAACTCCTTGCAGTTGCTATGCAGATAAAACTAAAGTGGGGAGAGCAGCTTTCGCGCTGCAGAATCGACTTCTCTGTTATTGGTGCCCAAGAGCCTCCTGGTGCTGCTACTGCTAAAGGAAAACTGGGAATCCCAAATCTTGCCCGGTTTACCTTCTGTCTGCACCTGAATAACGTCAGGGATCCTTTCACATCGCAAAGCCAGCACGTCACGCGTGCTTTTCACTAGCTGAGCTTCTGCCTGGGACAGTTCGTGTGCTGCTCGAGAGCAGGTCTCACTGGGGGCTCGATCGATCGGCTGGGATGAGGCCAGTGGCTTATGAGTGCGGCAGCAATCATGAAGCATGTTTTGGGCTGGTAAGGAAGCAGCACTGCATATGCAGTAGAGCTGCCACCCCATTAGAAGAAACTTTAGTTAATTAATTATATTTGCACATGAATATAAGCAATTGTTCCAAAGCACAATGGCTTCATATATTTGCCACACCAGGCATTATCTCAGAAGAAGCAGCTGCTCCTGAGAGGGAAATGAGCAAATTCTTCAGATTATGTTTTCCATCTGCAGCTTGGGGTAAGTGCGTGAACTGAACTAAAGCTCCCCCCCCCCCCACAAAGCTTCCTGATTAATCAGGTTTTGTAGTCACCGGGAGGGGGGTGGAGGTCTGCTCCTACCCTCCTGGCTCTTCTGGGATGCCATGATGTGCCTGGCGAGGAGGCATAGCGGGGCCCTGCGTGATGATGGTGGTTCTGCCAGCTGTGGGGCTGGGTGCCTGCTGCCCGCCGGCATCCTCTCCTCCGCAGTGCTCACACAGCTGCTAGGAGGCTGGTGCTGACCTTCGACCCCGAGCTGCTTTCGGAGCACTCGATTATCGCAGCATTGCCCATGGCTCCCACAGGACTGCGCTCAGACTTTGGGGCCAGCGCATGGCCCTGTGCTGCCCCGCTCACTCACGGCATGGGGCAGGTGGGGCCGGCCTTCAGACACGCTTCCCGAGACCCAGCCTCTCCCTCCCTTCCCTTGAGTGCCATCTTGGGAGGCATGCAGGGCATGGATTTTGAAACCGCCAGCAGGGAGACGGAAGGAGTCACATTGCCTGTTCCCCACCAGCCCTGTCCTTGAGCTGACGTGCCTCAGCGGAGGCCAGAGGCCGAGGAGCGCGTGCCCCAGCCCTCCGAAGCCCCTGCGGCTCCGGCCTTTCCCGGTCGGGCGCCCTGCGTGGGTCATTTCCCACCCGGGCAAAATCGGAGGCTTGGCTGTCCCCACCCGCCAGGCCTGGGCCGCCCACAGCCACACGCCCTGCAAAACATGCCCGGCACGGCTGCCGTTGTGCTGCCTGCTCCCTGGGAGCCCATGCAGATGCTCTGGCCACCGTGGCCACAAGCGTGGAAGAGCAGCAGCACAGCAAAGTGGTGCCACACCGCCAAGAGCAGCGCAGTGGCGCTGAAGGCACTTTCGAAGACGTCTGGCTCAGGAGAGGCGTGTGAATCGGATCGGCGGCTGCTGCTCTGCCAAAGTGTCTGCCCAGCCGAGCAGTGCGTTCTGCTCCTCGCGACCGTGGCGCATCTGCTCGGGAGCAGCACTTGCGTGCTCTCACCAGAGGCTCCCACTCGGAAGCACTTCTGTGAGGCCAGGGCAGAGGCCGGTGGGGCTGGCTGGCTGGCGGTTAACTGCCCCCCCGCCCTCCGCCCCCCACTCACTGCCAGGGCTGGAGCAGCTTTGCCGTTTGTTTAACCACATCTCCCCTCTCCAAAGAATGTGTGCAATTTAAAAAATAGCAAGCAGGGAGGCAGGCAGGCAGG